AGAGAAAACACTCATAAGAACTCCATGCCGTTTAGAACCATCTGACATGGAGGTGGTACCGCTCAGAGGCGTACTCACTCGCGTTGTGCTCTTTATTCTGTGTCTTGTTTGAAGCCTGCTGGGTGTGTTTACTCTGCTCTCAGCTTTAAAGCTCCCGATAAGAACAGATGTTATCAGCTGTTTTGATATTTGAACGTTCGTGCAGTTTTCCATTCGCACGTAGGATAAGTGGGGCAGGTTCAGCTGTTTGTGTACATGCTCAAGTTCATTCACCGCAGTGTGGACTAATTATAGAGATCGCTCCGTGTGTCTGCGTCGGTGTGTGTTTGCGTTTTGCGCTGCTCTCGGTGAAAACGGAAAGACGAGGATTTCTTTGCTGAAGTGGCAAAGTCCGTCTGAGCTGCAGTTCCTCTGACATCTGGCCTGTTCCCAGCAGCGACTGTTGCACATCGTCCACCTGCCAGGACACAAAGCGTTGCGTAACACGCTCACATGCACACGGTACGCACACGCTCACATGCACACGGTACGCACACGCTCACATGCACACGGTACGCACACGCTCACATGCACACGGTACGCACACGCTCAGTGTCGCCGTGCAACTCATTCCTCGTGTGGCGGCTGCAGGAGCATGAATTTCTGCCGTTTTACCGTCTTGAGCAGCATCCAGTGCCAGAGGCTGCTGCTGAGTGTGTTGTTTTAAGTGCTGCGACTGAACCGTGGCGCTGAGCTGACCCACAAAGGATGAGAACCGTTCCTGATTTTCACCTGCAGCACAACAGAGGAAGGTGTCTTTGTGCACGCTAACGTCCAGGACACACACTCCCACACACAGGCTCCTTTCTTCCCCCAGGATGGGCTCAGCTTCCTGGGCCGCCTCGCCTGAACAGGGTCCCCCTCTGTGTGGGGAGTGTGGCTCGCACACACTCGTGCATTGATATGCACGGCCAGCTGGTGCACACAGGTGTCAGTCAGCACGCCGGGCCCAGTCAAAGGTTCTTTGATTCATTTCCTGCCTCGGTGTAGTCGCACAAATCAGAAAGTGCTCCACGTGGTGTTTTTAATGATCAGTAAAGAGCTGCAGGAGGTCGCTGGGTGATGATGCACCGCTTTAGGATCAGTCTTCATGACGGGAAATTCACAGCAACCTGAACAATAGTGGTACAATGAGAAAACAGTGAGTGACACACTTCACTGTGAGGCGTGAAGGAGCAGCCAGTGTTGATGTAGAGGGCGTCCTCTGTGCCGTCTGTTGATCCTCGCTTGTTTTTCTCCAGGATGTGTCCTGTTTGAACAGCGAGCGCTCTCTAACACAGTCAACAGGAGATGCTATCTTGTGTTTGACGCCTCACACACACACACCTGAGGCTGCCGACGGGTTTGTAAATGAGAATGCCGTCAGACACAGTGTTTGCATAAAGGAGTGTACAAACAGCGTGTACGTCGTCCACAGCGCTGATGTTACGCCTCTGTCTTCCCCTGATATACCGTACAGACTGTATGCTGAGTAAATAGTTCAGCATTCAGCATGAATATCTTCACTATGTGGCCTCATGTCAGCAGAAACACTGGTTTTTAATACATAAATACATAAATACATTCGGTTACTCAGACAGTTTTGTTATATTTTAACATTATGTTGTTTATTTAAAGCAAAAATAGTCTCGCAGGATGAAAACTTTGTAGAAAACATGTTTTAACACTAACTTGTAGTTAGCTCGGTTAGCATAACTGTATATTATTAGCTCATTTGAAACTAACCAGTCGTTAGCTAGGTTAGCATAGTTGCATTCCAAGGTCATTTATAACTAGCCAGGT